AATTGATTGATAAACATTAAAAAAAAAAGTAGAAATACGAGTCCGTGAGAAAAACAAACCTGAACGCATTAGGTCGAATCGTGTTATGTATTTTCCTGATAATGCGAGGCGTGAACAAGCAGCGTGAGCAACCTGATACTATGAAACCGAAACGACGTCTCCCCAACAAATGCGCGCTGAAGTGACAGACTTGTCAAGCTCGGAAAAAAAGTGAAGAAAAAAAAACATTATTACTCTAGAAAAAATATTTAAATATTTCGTGTCGGCGGCTTATATAATCGTCGTGATAACACGGTTGTATGACTGATCAATTGGTACTGTTTTGAAGACACACACGCACAGACAACGCTCAAAGTACAAATAAATATACCCCCGCTGAGTTTCTTGCCGGATCTTTTCAGCAGGTCGCGATTCCGATCCAGTAATGGGATTCATTTGCGCAGCGGCTGAGCTTCGAGCCTTGAGTTTTAGGTCTCATCCGGAGGCACTCGAGCAGCTGTTAACAAATTTCGTTCCTCTTGGCTGCTCCTTTGCTCGCTTACCTGTCCTGGTCAAACTGGACTATGGGATAGTAATGCCTTATTCTAATAAAAAAACCGGGCTTAGCTATTGAAATTGTCACGAAAGCTTAGCACATATTATGATATACGTCGTGAATGCTGTATTTATTTTGTGTGTTTTAAACTATAAATGGTGACTACGATAGAAAAACAGTAACTGAATGATCGCTTTTCATAATGGGCATACTTAAAAATTATGTCTGAACGGTCTATATTATGGTTAGTTTGGGATTTGTTGGAATCATCGGTTGCCTAGCTACTAGTCAATAGTATTTCTATTAATGTAAATAGCTTCAATATTGGTTGTAGTGACGAAAATGGGTTAGGAACTCTGATGTCTGCCGCAAAGCAAGAATTAGGTCGGTATATTTGAAGGGTAATGTGGCTTTTAGCAAATTCAAAAGATGACTACTTGCATTCACTTTGGTTGCTCGCCCCGACGGTGAATGGCGATTTGATTCGATAAACTCAATAGAGGTGCTTGTTCGATTGACAGTATATTTGTGATAGATATTAAATGACGTCAGATCATCTTATTGCCGAAATTGATTTTGTAAGGATTCGTCTGTGGTTTTTTTCTATGTTTTTTAACATTTGTCCGCTTCTTTAGATAAATTAAATTTCACGCCATTCGTCATTCCATATGTTCTCGACTTCCGTAAAACTCAAGACAATCTTACCTGGGGCTCGTTCGGTATGTAAGGCTTGTTTGTTTTAACTATTCATTTAATCACCTGTGCAGATACTTTGCTGATTTATGTAGTTGACGACTCGTTAGAAAGAACGACCTTTGAAAATTTTTTAACAAAATTAAAACTAACACGGCTAATGGAAAATTACATTGTTAATTAATAGGTTCACGTATTATTAAGTGATTAATGAATATAAAACGAGTATTCGTTCGTAAACAAAATTGGTTCAGTGAATTAATTTGTCTTATCGTCGTAATTGAATACGAAGAATTTAATTTGGATGTAATTAAATCCCTTTCATTAACTCGGTCAATTGTAGCCTATTTGGTGTTATCGGTTCGGTTGACCGGAGTCCTTCTATGTCAAGGATAACAATTAGTGATAATAACATACGAACGTACAATAATAAAAAATCTAGTTCAAATTTAGTTGTTTTCTTATGTTTGTGCGAACCTTCTCGCATTTATCTCTGAATGTAATCTATAATATTTTCGCTGTAATGCCCTTGATAACATCGTACAAAGTCCATCCAATCTTGTAGAAACGCTCTTGCTCCCCTGTGCCAGGAATCTATATTATTTTCAAATTGTAGCATGGAACTTTCTGCAGGCCATATACTATAATTTTAAAGCTTTATATCTTTGTGTTCTTCGACGCCCGAACATCAGAATGTATGCATTAAAACTGAAACCCAAAAAGATTTTTGTCGACCCCTAGGACAGTAAGACGCTTCGCTAATTCATATGTACATGGTAGCAGTATTTAGGTTTACCATTTAACTAATCAATCAATAGTGGCTTTCCTTTGGATAAAAATAATTTAAATAAGGAATTCTATCGCCAAATTGGAATAATCTAAATGTCTAGTATCTACAAATTCGTTGGTGCAGCCACGATAGATTACCGTGAAATTTTGCTTCTTCACTGCTTGAAGAATATTGATATTTAAGGGAAAAGTTAAAATACTGACTAAGACTAGCTTATTTCGAAACTTCAACTACTACTGTAAATACTTTCCAAGCATCTGTCCTTCTACTGACACATTAGTTTCTATCTACTTACTGGACTCTAGTGCAGCATAGAAATTGTATCAATGCTGAGTTCAATATACATTTTTAATTGGTACCCACGTTTTTCCTACAAGCAGAGGTATCCTAACCTTGTGGTATTCTAATAAAAATTTGTCCGCCGACTTTTAATTACAGATCATGAACGTTAATAATAAAAAACAATATTCAAAAATAGTATCTCTGATATACTCTCGTACATATTACAACAACGTTAATAAAAGCGAATTCGACCGGTTTGGTTACCGGCAACTTTCATAAGACGAAAGTTGTTGATACAATATGATAAATATGCTAAACGTTGGTGTGCGAAATGCACGCACAATATGTTATGTTAGCAATATTGACGTTTATCGAGAAACGGCCTGAGTCATTGGGCTTACTTTCACTTACCCTCCTCCTGTCCCCGCCGTGGCTTGCATCACCATTTCACGATGCCAGTAAAGGGGCACTTTCTTTAAGGCGATGCTCATTGATGACGTCATCGCGTTTCAAATCGCACGTTATCCTTCTTGCCTGCTCACGTGTTTCAGACGAAAGTTTGACGCTGAAAACGTGCCGGCCGCTACAACATAAAAAAGTGGTGCGTAACATTCTCTGTTTTCAGAAGTCTTAGAAATGCATAAAAATAAGTTTTTCGGTTTTCAATTCGGTGCCTATTTTTTTGCGCGTTTAATCAGTTTATATAATACATACTATCGGGCCGCTCCGGCCCCGCTCGGGTCTTTAACAAAAATTTCAACGATATTTGACGTTGTTTTATTTTTTAACACAAAAGAACACTTATTGCGGCATAACTATAATAGTTAGAAATATGCTGTCGCGACACTTTTTGTAAATAATAATGTGTTCTACCAAGTCTTAGTACATTATTTTATTCTATCATTAATAGTTTTTGCAGGGCTCGCGATGTAAAGAATATTTTGGGTAATTTTTTTACACCTTGGGTTACATTATTGGACTAAAACTCCCTAGGATCTAAGGATCCTTAATTTTTTTCAAAAAAGATTATAGCCTATGTCACTTGGGAATAGTGTAGCTTCCAAACAGTGAAATAATTTTTCAAATCGGTTCAGGACTTTCGGAACCTATTCAGTACAAACAAACAAATAAATCTTTCCTCTTTATAATATTTATTATATAGTAATAGTAAAATATAAAGGTATGTTATTCATGTATTGACAATATGTCACTGGTTCAAGCAACCGTCACTATCAAACACCTTGATTTCCTTCCCGTGTAGTTTGAGAATAGGAAACATAAACTATAAATAAAACAAACTCAAGTCTGAATTTTTTTTTGGCGGTTGGTAATCTGCTTTTAATCCAATCTTTTTCCTCATAAAACGAAAACTTCTTTAGAATCGTTGGTATTTGAAATTCGATTAAATGAAAAAAAAATGACACTAAAAGAGATTATATACATTTAGACTACGAGACAATGAGGCATACTTCTGAAGTTTCACTTCTGTCGTTTGTGAACTGAATTTTTTAAGTCCCACATTCCCAACCTCGGTTTTTCTCCTGGATGCCGGAAGGACATTAGATATCAATATTAAACACCAAGTATCTTTAACGACTGACCACTCGACTAACGAGGTGATCAACTTTAACAGTGTGTGAATGCAATTACTGTTATCTTTCAATATATGTATACAATGTATAAACGTAACACCGGATTCTGATTTATTGATTTTATGCGTTGCCAATTGTCAAATGTGAATCTATATTATATTAATACGTGAAGGAAAAACTTTATATCCCTTTTTACGAAAATTGCGCGGACGGAGGAGTATGAAATTTCCCACACTTATTGAGAGTATAAAGAAGGAGTGCACAATGTTAATATTTTTTTAAATTATGCCTAAAAAATACATTAAATCGATATTAAATCAATAAAAAAACATTACACACACTACCATGTATTTTACGCACACGCGCATGCATACTATTTATTTATTGTCAAACTTTTATTCTTGACGTCTGTGGTCAAATTGAGAATAGATTAAATATTGTTTGTCTTTATTAATATTTTTCTATAGTGTAGTTATGGCGAAATTTGTGATTATAGAATAGTTTTTGAAAATAGAATCATAATAGTGTACAAACTTTTAATTTCAATTAATTATAGTCGAATTTCGACTACCGGGCAACCACTAGTTCATAAAATTATATATGGAGTTTTAAACATGTGCTCAATTAAATTTCTCGTAGATTTCGTTTTTGAATATCTATGCAAGCACACGTAATTCTGTTACAAAGGATATAATAAAATGTTGAATTAATTTTGATTTAATTTCATTTCCCGTGTTCGCTGGAAACATTGAATATTTTGTAGTTATTCTACATTCATTTGTTTTTTCTTACAGGTAAGTTCATCTTTCAACTTTCTAGAGCAGTGGTAAAATTCCTGTAAGTATTCATTCTGAATTACAATAGGCTCTCATCGTCTCTCCAATCCATAGGTCGTTTGTGATTATTTACCATCGAATAACCGCGTGCTGTATACAAATTAAATATGTGGAGTACATAATACGTGGACAAAAAAAAAATCGCATAATTATTCGACCCTAAATAATACAGTAAATAACAGCGGCTGTTTTAATTGTGAAACGATTAGGGTTGTATAGTTTTCCGGTGCAACGACGCCGCAGCGGAGGCGAGGCGCGTGGCGCGGCACTCCCACTCGGCATCGCGACAGCCATCGAGTCGCTTTGCACTCATTCACTCCAGTCCACAGCCGACTGCCGCGGCGATCGCACGCGGTCTCTTTATCGACGCGCCTCAGATGTTAGTGTACGATTACGACATCGCGGTACATTTTGAACTTTTACCGTGACAGTGAATTGGATTGTTTCGAAAATGGGTTAAACGCCCTCCCGAACGTAATGAGTCCGGGCGAGCGCGCCGCCCTAGGGCGCCGCGAACCCGCTCGCCCTCAGTATGCCAACACAGCTCCGGGTTTCCCGCCACCCTACTATCCGCCCTATGGTGTGCCGCACCCGAGTGCGTGGCTCGGCGCCCCTCTCATATCAATGGCCGGTCGTGCACCAGCACAATCCCGGAATACACCTGTTTCGAAGTTGGCTATGCAAGCGCAGGGAGCACCACTAATTATACAAAACAGAAAAAAGTTCAACATCGGATTCGATCAACGCAACCAGCGGACACAACAAGGCCATACAGAAAATGTGCAACGAGACAGGTGTGAACTTACTGACGGAAACAGGGCGCGAAACCAGCAACAGCAAACGCGTTCTGCGCGAGGCGGACGTAACAACAACACGGATGCGGTCAGTGTCGCGAGCGATGAAAGTTCCGGCTCCGCTAACTCAGAAACCATGCTACCCAGGATAATAAAACCAAGAAAACGACGTAAAAAGGATAGGAAGCCGAACAACATCGTACCGCACGATTTAACGACTACTTTAGATCTCGGCGAAGTTGATCATTGTGCGGTTTCAAACATAGGGACGCACGGCATTTATGATGAAAGTTATTGTCGCGATATGTCTTTACCGTATCGCTTAGATGTCAAAGTACTGGAGTATCCGGAACCGGCACCGACCCCGTATCGAGTAACAGCACTCGGAGAGGCATTAGAAGCCACTCGTTTTGGTATAACCGAGGCTGTTTCACCAGCAGAATCCGCAGTTAGTTCGTGTCAGTGTCGGCTTTGCGACCCCGTTGGACAAATTTGGGATGCAGATTCCATTGCTGATCTACTAGATGAAAATTCTAGTGGTGATTTCACACCTACAAAGCTCGAAGATTCTATGAAAGTAGTCGGACCACTAGGACGACGAGGTGCTGATACAACGTTACGAAGAAGTTGGAGCGATCCGTCATCTCGGGTCCCTGAAAGACGTGACATCGGCAATAGCGATAATTATTCAGCACCTAATTTGTATTCGTTATTCCCACCGGCCAGACAAGCCAGTTCACCAGAACCTCGATCACCTTTGGCGCTGGAAATATCTTCGGAAATTGTTACGTCCATGAATGGTCACCGCGACTTGGAAATAAAGTTATTCTCGACCTCGCCCCCGGCTATGAACTCCGACCGACGCTCCTTTTTCGCAGATAAAAGTGAAAGTGCCGTGAACAGATGTACAGTCGAGCGCTACGATTTCAAAGTGAACAGTGCTGTGAATAACGAATTCGATTCATGTGTCAAAGTTGAAAAGCAAAAGAGTGATGTGTCAGACGAGGGTTGTTCAGTGGCACTGATGAACGGCAAACCCTCACGCAACATTTGTGATCTAAACTTAGTTTCTGTGTGAGGCGTTTGTCGTCGTTGTAGAACGTTTGTGTCGTCTTTGTAGGCTGCTAGACTCATAATTCATTTGAGCTGGACTCAAATTGTCACAGCGAGGCATACACGGAGCGTCTCAACGAGACCAGAAAATTGAACTTCGAGATCTCCGAATCGGTTTCCTGTAGATTCTACAATTAATTTATTGTTAACCTAGCGTAGGAAACTATGGGGAACTTTATCTGGAAACACAGTGTGTCCTTTTTTTTATAATTCGCCGCTTATCACGATGCCTTCGACTTTCATGTTAGCCATTAGAAAATAAACTTTTAAAACGTCGTATTAGTTATAAACGTACAGTTATAACTCGCGACTTAGCGACGAGTAATATACCAGTGTAGGTAGGTCACCACGACGTCTCGATTCAACTAGTTATTTTCGAAGCCGCACATAATGTCAATGTAAAAAAACACAGTCATGATTGCTTGTATTATAAATCAATTTGTATCGTAAGGGGGATGAATGTGCCGTAATAATTCGCGGTGTGCAATTAGCGTTTCATACTACTGACACGGTTCTCGCGGTGTGGCGCGTTCGCTATTGCGGTTTCCCGCGGTTTTCACCGCGCGCGTCGTTCCGGGTGGCGCCTCCAGCGAGCGCGCATCTCTTTACCGCTAATCGCTTTTTCTCCACACTCGTTGCCAAGCTCTCTCCGGCCATTATGTTTAACAGCCTTATTGAGAAGTAAACGGCAATTAAAACTGCTCACATTCACGTCTCTCATCGCTGTTGATGTCTCTACGAAATTTTTATTCGTCTCTGGTTATTCAGAAATTATATAGAACAGACAAGGCTGTGTGGGCTTATATCCCCTTGCCTTTCCTAATAAGTAAAAATTGTAACAAAAAAAAAAACGTCTCTTGGTTAGTTAAAGCTGTAATTTTCATTTAAAATGATTGAACGCGGCTTGTATTCTGCCGAGTAGTTGTGATTAGCTTAATACATAACGAGTCGCTTCTCATTATAAATGCGGTCACAACGAATTCTACAACTACATTTATTTGACCAGCATTCGTCAAAAAAACAACATTCAATTTTGGACATCAAGTAATATGGTTCGATACCAGACCTAGTAATCGTTTATTGAATTTAAATTTTCCTTATCAGCTTAAGTTGAAATTATTTTATGGTCACCAAATTTGTACCGTGACGATTGGTTTTCGGAAGTAAAAAAACCTGTCATTGAATGCTTTTCGTTGCTTCATTGTCGAGTTCGGGATACCAAAATAAATTCCCTCTTTAAAGCATCTTGAATAGCGCATGTTTTCAGGCGATACACCAAAAATTACGTACATTATAAAACTCGGCTGTTTTAATTCAGATCTCACAGTCAACTCTAAAAAAATGTTCATATTTTACGTTAGTTTCATTGCGATACAGTTGTCGTGGGATCACTGAGTTTTATGAGGCTCCGTAGAGTAGTCTTTCCCCGAAAGTGTGTCGCAAAATTCATTGATAAATGGCGAATTGGGTACTGTTCCTTTTTCTTATGCGGTATAATATGTTTCTTGATATTTATTTCCAATTGTGGGTCCAAAGGCATAGTACGTATACAATACCAGATAAAGTTCCGCGATGTAGATAATGTGAATATAACGATAGTAATACGACTGCGGTGTAACAGTCTCCATCGTTGGGTTTTACATTCTACTATTGTTTCTACGGTTTAATGTATTACTTTTTTTGGTTTCTTGTTGTGTTTGCTTATGTTACTGGGCGCGTGCGTGGGACGATGTGATAAATCGACTCTCGCTTCATTTTTTCTTTACGACAGGCTCCGCGTACGCTAGAAGTTATCACGGCAGGCGTATCTACATTAAGTCACTTTTTAAATGGACACCGCACCGCATTGCAGCGATATCGGGTCATCAATCCGTTGCAAGTCAATCGTAACTTGCCTTTTCGATGCCTCCAATGAACACTACTCTAACTCAAAATTTTGAAATTTTCGTTTTTCACGCAAATCGCTTCACTATGTGTTCACTATGTGTAAAAGTATTACAATTAATCATTATTGATGGGGTTTGAAGCAAGAGTAAATCAGCTAGTTACACAAAAAACCATAAATATATCTGCAATAATAAAGATTTATCAGCTTTTTTCGTTTAAACGCTCCTCCTGTAAATCTACGAATTTAGAGTTAGCGTAGTGTTCATTGGAGGCATCGTTTTGAGTTGGGTCTCCTTCATGTAATAAGTACTTTTAATCAAATAAAAGGAAGGTGACGATAGCGTTTTAAAAATAGTAAAGTTCTTATAAACAAAATTGTATTGTATGGCGGTAGCACATTGAAGGTGTCATGTTGACGTGGATTTAGAAACATGTAAATTTAATCTAGAAACGTCGAGACTTTCCGTATCGGAGGCTAACAAGGGGCAGGGCGCCAAACGTGGCTGTAAAACTCAACGATAAAACAAACTTCAGTTTAAAAAAAATATAGGCTATGTCTAACTTTAACCGAGTGAATGCATTTTATACATAATGATGTAGGTTCTATAATAAATATGTCTGTGAATGTCGAGGCATGAGTTTAGACGCTCGCACACTATTTTTGTACAATAAAATACCATGTCCTGATATGTAAAATTGTAGTTTTATTTATGAAATTCAATTCGTCGATTCCTATTTAACGTATATTTTTTAGATACGTTAAAAAAATATTATCTTTATAGTTTTGCAATGGTTTAAACCATTTTAACATTACGTTCGTGAATCGTGAACTTTACGAAGCTTTCGATTTAAGTCAGCGGATTGCCCACCACGAAATTGGAATCGAGAGAAATTAAAACGTTTCTCGTCTGAACATTGAAACCTTGTTGTAGGTGAAAATGTTTTAAACGGTTTGCTTTAGCGCTCAACGAGGTTATATTGTTGTGGAACAGCTGTTATCCGTTACGCGCACCACCTTTGTGCTTTTTGTTTGCGCTCGACAAGTCTCGGTGCAAGCCATAAGCGTATAACGATTAACAGAAAATACGTAAAATCGATTCCGATCCGGTGGTACATATATTCGCGAATTAACTGCTCTTGCTGTTGTTAAGTCTCCTTCCGAGGCGCTCGGGCGACTGTTAGCAAATCTCACCCCTCCTGGCTGAGACTTTGCTCGCCCAACTGTCCTGGTGAAACCGGAAAGGCCTCCGGGACACCAGTAACCCTTCAAATGGTTCGTTTTCTATTCGTTACGTGTAAGAAGAGACTAAGGTTGCCTAGGGCTGTACTAGGAGTGGTATTTGAGTTATACATAGAATACCTAAATGTTGACTATACTTCTATATATGCTGGTATCAAATTGAGTTATAACTTTCAAGGAAAACTTTTGTAAATAACACCAAAAAGTGAAGTAAATTAAAGACATAATAAAATTTGGTTTGAATCATACGTTTGTACCAAAACCATCTCCCGGCTACAATAAGAAAGTCAAATGACATAATAATGCTCCATAAATTTACTAACAACAACGAATTGGATAGATTACAAAATGTAAATTATTCGTGAAAAATTAAAGTAAAATGTATATTGGTGATGAACAGTTTCAACAAATGAAAGTATTAAAATTTTGAATGCATATTTTAGTAATAAAATGATTCAGGAGTTGCGTAAATAAATTAACAGGCAGCGTAAAAAATGAGTGGTTTTATTTCAAGATAAATAGTAACATTTTGAAGTATTTAAAAAGATCTAACTATGTATTACTAAAGTATTTACCTCGTATATAATATTGAGTATCGTAATAGGTTTATTACAACGCATTGACCTATGAGGACACTCGAAAGGTCGCATCAAATGATAACTCACTTTTCAAAAGAATATGAATGTAATATGAATTAAAAACAATAGTAAATTATGAGCTTCAGGTCAACGGGTCGTTGACCTGAAGCCTCGTGCTCTGCTGGAGGGTATAAATAGAAAATAATAATTATTACAGCGCATTAATATGCTTGTGACTTGCACCCGTTATTTGTTCAGCACAGAATCATATGCAGAACATGATTTATGTAGAGTTTGTTCCCCCAACAAGGACACCGGCTTGGTCAATGTCACGACACATGTTTGTATTATGATGTTTTTTCAACGTTAATTCTCATGAAACTGCGTAAATACTTTGGATCATTATTCATTTTTAATCTTCGCTCTGTGTCTTGTATTTTTTTTTACTCATAATTATAATGTCATGAAAGAAGTTGCCAAAAATACAACAACAGGCGTTCGATGTTTTTCTTATAAACAATTTTTAGAGTGTTGGCAGTCCTGTCAGAAGTACTTATTTCAATTATTCAACACTATATTTATGATTATTTTTATTTCGTTGGATTATTTGTGGAATTAAAAAATCCACAATGATGCTTAATGCAAACTTAAATGCTTTATCTTATTTACCCATTATTTACCAACAAGAGTTACCAATACAGTTTTCGATTAAAACCTTTTTTCGTACTGATTTACTTTTGAGATAAATCAGAAAAAAGTTTCACTAGGAATTTAACTTATTTCAATTAATCTATAGTAGAAAAATGATTTTGTTAGAACGTGCAGATAAGTAGTATACTTTAAAATTAGAATCTAATACTACACTCTTTACTGAAACATCGCTAAAACTTCATATTAAAAACTAAAATAACGCTACTAGGTATTTTTATTATGTACTTGTAATTTATTTGAATGAAAAATATTAAATGAGGTTCTTTTCAAAACGTTTTCTCGCTTCAAAATATACGCGGAGAACCAAACAAGGTCGACATTACGATTTCAATCTTATTTGCCTTCGAATAAATTCGAGATCTTTCGAAAACTTTTATTAAAAACAATTAAGTTAAATCTTGTTATTATACAGTTTGTGTTTACCACTATTTTTGTTAATTAGTATCGATTCTGTGACCAATTTCGTTATTAACGATTATAGAAAATGAATTTGTTAATTTCAAAACCTCACTGCTCTATGGATTTTCCATACATGTCTAGTATTATAACTACTTTAATAATCAACTGTCAGTACTTAAATTATTAACCACAAATGAAATAATTGAAATTGCACTACGAAATAAATAAATATAATAGCAATTAAAATGTATTGTTCGTTTACATCTTAACCTCTAAACGTCATTTGCGCAAGCATCGCATTGAACAGATTGAGATCACGAACGTAATTGTAATGCAAAATTTTACGAAAATCACTGTAATAGCTTCAAATATATCTCATATAGGCTCCAAAGGAACACGCCAAGGTTGATGTTTTAAACTGAACTGTCATTAAAGATGACATACAAGTGATAAGCAAACGATTTTATCTGTTTCGCTTGAAACGCATTAGTCGGAGAGCTAGCAGCAAACATTTTGAGTTAAAGTGAAAATACGGGTAAGATTTCTTATATTTTTATTTTGTAGAAAATTGGAGATGTCGTCGGTTTTCCGACAGAATTATGAGCTACTTCGAGATAACCGCCACAGTCCGTTATTTTTGCCACCAGCCTCCACCCAACAATGGAATCAACTCACTGTTCCCTTTTCATGTTTCTTTAGCTCTACAACGTACATCCTCAAACAAGGTTCGAGAGGAAATTCTTGTTAGCGTTATCCAGTGCTTTTGTTTGGTGTTTAGAAACACTGATATGTTTCAGAGGCGGTAATCTGTTGCCACTCGACGTGATGTTTGTTGGGGGGTCGATGACAGTGATTGCCGCCTACAAAAAAATGTGCATAAATTATTTCAACTTAACATTGAAGACTATCTCAAAAATATATTCGAAATTGATGGTCACTTAGGGTGTGTCTCAGTAACAAACAGTAAGTAGTACGACCGTGACCGATGCTGAGAGCATTTTCTATGTCTCCGGTCACCGTCCTCGTCGAACCTTGCGACGAAGGGCTTGATGAGCGAATTAACCCATGGACACAGCCCACTGAGCTTCTCGCCGATCTTCTCAGTGGGTCGCGATTTTGATCCGGCGGTAGATTCTGCGAAGCACTGGTCTAGCTACGGTCAATGTTAGCAACACTCCAGTTTGAGCCCCGTGATCTC